CTTCTCGTTTACGACTATCCCTCACCAGACTCAGGTTGCTCGAGTGATTGTGCAACTAAGCTGTCCAATGGTTTGATCTGGTTGATTGAAGCATGATGCAGAGCTCTGTAGCAGAGGAAATAGGCTGGGTTGATGGGACGGTGACACTGAACCTAGGAGCCCGCAACCAGTAAAATGGACAGGCCCTTACGATCAGTGCTAGTTGGATAAACGACTTAACAACCAGAATGCCACTGATAGATGACTGTGTGAAGGGAGCCCCGAGGTACATACAGACGCTTTTGTGTGTACACTACAGTGGGGATCTTTTTGCCTTCGATTGTTGGCTGATTTCGCTTTGGATGAAAATGAACCAACACCAAGGCAAGTAACCGAAGTCGGTTGGGTAAGTTGCGGAATCGCGACACGAAGAATCGATAGACCGTTTGCTAAGATCAAATATGCTTGTGGAAATCAATCGCTGGATCGGCTGTTTTCATCTAAGTCCTGAAAAAATCGATAAGCGAAATTCCAATGAGGCCATGACTTGGTTTGTTTCCGATGCGCATTTCTGAGCATTGAAAGATACATCTAACAGAGTTTAACACTGGTTCCGAATTATAAAACAAGAAATAGCAAAGTTTGCATTGAATGGTAGAACTAAACTCCATTACCTACGATTACGTACGAAATACTAGTGTTTCCTTTAGGGATTCGCAAATTTTCTGATGGATTCTGTTTACAAGGCTCATTATGATCCTATGGTGTTTATTAAGCTCTCATAATTAGTTGGCAACTTATCGTAGAATTTGTAGTCTTATTATCTGAAGCGAAACTAGGATGCGTGATGAAATAATGTACATACTGGAAGTATCCCATCCACCAGCAAATCAGTCCTTTTATTCTTTAAAAAAAAATATACCGTGATTTGTTGGGCATATATATATATATATATATATATATATATATATATATTTGTGTGGGTGGGCGTGAATGGCAAGGCAGACAATGTGAATACGCACTGATACCTAGTTGTGATAAGAGAAACAGTAACAGGATAACTACAGACAAAATCCAGTTCATGTAGGTAAAAAATAAACACAGAAGTAGATGCACTTGCTACAACGATCAGCTGTGCACTGCACAAGATGTCACAATTAACGGCCGGAAGAAATTAAAAGCAGGGTAAGTCTCAAAGATGAACCGACAGGATATGCCATGATAAGGGCTTGAACTACTGATAACCAATCGATACGCTATTCCTGAAATTCTATTGTGATTCACTCTTATGAAAACAGCGCGCAGGAACAGGTGCGGCGCACACGCATCAATCGATTAACAATAAGCAAGTGTGCAGTAAGGTACGAATGAAATGAACATGCAACGCATACCCAAGCTGGCTCCGGAGTTGGCATATAGAGAATCCAAGGTCATGTGGGAGGATTGATTGATCTGAGTGCATGGGTTCATTGCACCGATTGGTCTATTTTCGCCCAATGTGTTTCCCGTGTTTAATGGACCGGAAAGAGCGTTTACTGTGTCCCCATAGAGCATGTGAACTGCACGGTCGGCCGAAACTGCATTCAAAGGACTGGGACAGATGTCCACAATGGTGGACATGACTGTGGCACCTAAAGGTAACCAGTTCATCATTAGTGCTCGTAGAGCGCCACGACTGTCTACATTTCGAATTGCTCGTTCATCCAAACGAACACCAAGTTTCTCGGCCATCGTAGTCACCTCCTCTTTAATTCCATCTATTACTAGAGTCTGCAGAATAGACAAAATAGAACGATACGATCAAAATTGAAAACAGTATTGCTGATGGTTCATTGATGTGACGCCTAATTTGAATATACAAGTGTGGTGAGTCACCAACCTTCCGGGAAGTAAGTTGTGGCATCAAGTGAACTCATGGCGCTACGCAACAACAGAACAGTATAACTATCTAACTCATTAGCATGAAAGGTCATATCTGTTTAGTGAAGATACCAGCAGATCAATGTTGAAATGATTACTGAGGACATTGACTTTAACACCAGGATCTCCTACTGGAGGATAATTAGGTATTATGGATATCGCGAATCATTACAAGAGGCGTTCAGTGATGTCAGATCAGTAAATATCATCATCCATTTTTTGTTTTCCACACTGAGAGCCGGAGATCGACCGTGTCCGCATGTATTCCAAATCTTCGTCGATTGTACTGATCCACACTTTCAGCTGAGCACCAATGTTAACAGCTCCATTCTGGACAAGAGGCGGGACGAAGCGTTTGTCCAGACATATATATTATATATTTACCACGGGCTTGCGAGCAAGTTTGGTGCCAGCGCAACAAAAAGAATAACAGAAAATGGGGGTTTGGGATACAAGGCAGTGTAAAAGCGGGTCGGATAGTTAATTTGAATAACAAGATAAACATTTTTTTGTTTCACCGTACGCTTTTTGATATTTTGCATTTATTGTTTTTTTATGGGGCACGAATTTCAACAGCATTCGCGCCACTGACTTCTATTCTGGGCCATATCTCTCAGCGTCTCTAACCAACGACCCCAACCTGGAAGGCGGGTTGCACCAATCGAAGCCAAAGCTGAAGCCAGCTTCTTCATGCCTCTACGCCATATCCTGATGTGACCGCCGCCGCGCTTCTTACAGCCTTGGCCGGCACGTGCTTAGAGCGCACGGAAAGATAGTCAATGGGCAGGCATACGCAATGTGTGGCCAAGCCATCGGAGGCGGTGTACATCGATTACTATCCACATGCAACACACGACGAGGAACCACGTCATTGCTCACCTGATTTTCCCACTAGACACGAGCAATGCTTCGGAGACATCGGTGGTCGAATACAGAAGGTCGATTGGCATTCTCAACGCGGAGGGACTAGGTCTCGCAACCGTAAGGTAGAATGCCACGAACAGCGGTGAGTACACCCTTCCCTTAAGGGACAATAGGATATCATGGCGGCGCTACAGATGTCGCAGGTTAACGAAAGCTGCTCCAGCTTTCGCTACTCTTGATGTTATCTCCTGCTCAAGGGACAAGGCCATTTCGGTGAACTTTAGTGTCCG